TTAGCAACCAAAATGTTGGCTCAGTAACTCTGCCATTTGAAGCACGCAAGTCTTAAAGCTTTCAAGTTACAAGACCCTTGCACTCCTAATCCTTTAGAAAAAAAACCCCAGGGGTGTTGAAACTTGGCAGCTTTAAGACTTGTGGACTTCAACTCCCAGAATTCCTCCTCTCGCTCTTCATCTTGATGATGTGCGGACAGCCGCGGGGAGGGAGCTGGAACCGGTTCTAAACGTCACTGTAGATTTATGGAACCTCTTCTATAGAAGAGGTTAGAACTGGCAGGAACCCACCCCTGGCCAGCATGCATCTAAAAGTTGCTGAGGTTGAGAAAACACTGGCTTACAGCAGGGGTCCCCAGCCCCAGATTCTGGACCAGCACTGGGCCACAACATGCCAGAAACTGGTCTGAACAACAACAGAAGTCTCATCCATGGGATGCAAGGGACAGATGAAAACATTCCCCCCTCCGGTCCATGGAAAAACACCTCTCCATAGAACCTGTCCCTGGCATCCAAAAGATTGGGGGCCGATGTTTTAGAGCAGGGGTCTCCAACCTTGGCAACTTTAAGACTTGTGGACTACAACTTCCAGAGTTGGGTGTTGAAGTCCACAAGTCTTAAAGTTGCCAAGGTTGGAGACCCCTGTTTTAGAGGACCAGATGTGCCTCCCTCAAGAAAGAGCTCTACCATTTACTATGCTGTTACTTAGGCCCCGTTCATGGCCACAAAGTGCAAGATAATCTCATGAACAAGGCCCCATGTGATCTCCACTCATAGATATTGGGAAAGGTGTCCTTTTATGCACTTGGCTTCAGTTCTTCTATCCGTTCCTATATCACAATGGCCATCCGATAATATTAATTATAGAAGTTAGACTTATATACCGCTTCATAGGACTTTCAGCCCTCTCTAAGCGGTTTGCAGAGTCAGCATATCGCCCCCAACAACAATCCGGGTCCTCATTTTACCCACCTCGGAAAGGATGGAAGGCTGAGTCAACCCTGAGCCGGTGAGATTTGAACAGCCGAACTGCTGAATTGCAGTCAGCCGAAGTAGCCTGCAGTGCTGCATTTAACCACTGCGCCACCTCGGCGCAGTGGTTAAATGCATGATTTACATGATTTGCATGATTTACAAGAAATTTGCATGTTTTACAAGAAAGACAGCCAGGCAGAATACCATCACATATCTGTTGCTGTTTCACTTTAAGAGGGAGATCAAGAAAAGAGACATTTTTAAAAAAAAAAAAAAATGTAGGCATTCTGTTTCTCCCTTTTTTCTGACCTTTTCAATCCAGAAATTTAAAATCTGTTTTTTTTCCCCCACCAATGTATAGCACCCTTTAAATTATTTACTTTCTTGTTTTTCTAAACTTTAAATAAGTATGTCTTGTTTTTATTTCTCCTGCTGGTTTATTTTCAAATTTACAGCTTTGTGTTTTATGAATATTTGAGTTCATTCAGAAAGTCCAATTCAGAAATTGAGAACAGCCCCAAAATATAATTAATATACAACCATGATACTTACAGTGTGAAGATCTGTTGAGAGCTTTTCTATCGAGGGTTTGAGGCTTTCAACTGCTTTCAGGCCATCCTGAAAGAAACTGTGAAAGAAAGAAAAAACTTTTTTCAAAAGGAATTATAAAAGTTAATGTAAGGCGGGAAGTAAATATTTGTAAAAGTTTTCTTTTTCAAAATTCTCAATTAAAAAAAAAGGAACACCAGTAGAGACACTGTTGTGG